CAACTAAACTGGTTGCTGCCCCCATGGAGGGAGCCACACCACAACAAATCCTTAAATTAGGAACAGCTATCCCCACAGAGAAAGCAGAGCAAGCTCTGGTGGTGGAAGGTCCTTATACAGTGTAGCCATGTCCACGCTAGGGGCTGTACCACTCCAACTCTGTCAGTCAGGCATCTCATTCCTAATGGAACAGCTACATCAGCACAAGATCTGCAAAAACAGAGTTGTGCCAGAGGACTGACAAAAAGCAAATGCTAAGAAGCAGTCTTCACTGAAGGGGAGTCTGGCAGTGACTGGCCCATCAGTCTGACTTGTCTTTCAAGAACAATAATGGCATAAAAAGAGAAAGCAAGAGGGGCCTGACTCTCCACTGACCCCACCTCATGCAGCCATCAAGGAAGCGTGAAAGGTCTCATTAATCTACACTGTAGCCGCTATGCATTTGAGGATCGGCCCCTCAAGTGCATCTGGAGCACTATTGGGTATTTACAAAGAGCAGATCCTGCCAGATAAAACCGAGCACAACAGATTTACAGCAATTGCAGGCTAGTGGAAGAACTGCCGACGTTATGTAGTTAGATTTTACTGCACTATCTCAAGAAATCTCTCAAAATGAATGCCAGTTGACTTGGATTTAAGCAGTGTCTCATGGACATCCGGAGAAACCTACGCCAAGGGTTATGTTATCAAAGCAGCAAACAGCTAAGGGCAACACATAGCAGAACAGGAGCTGAGATTGGTAGGAGGGGTCTGTTGCAGTAACACAGGGACCACACTGGATCAGGATTTATTTTACATGTGGAAGAGTAAATGGTACAACCAAGAAACACAGCTAAGCTACTTGCACAGCCCCATTACCAAAGTGTCTGAAAATCCCTCAATATTTAATTAATTTACCCTCAGGCATCCCTGTGTGATAATGAAATATTATTTCATGATGGAGAACTGAGGCATAAAGTGACATACCCAAGGTGACATGGGAAGTCAGTCAATGGCAGAGAAGGAAATAGTAACTAGGTGAGCATTTTAACCACCTCAGCATCTTTCTTCTCCAGGGATCGGCTCCAGATGATACTAATTTGGGAAATACTAACTAGTGAGGGCAGATACAGAGGGGCTCATATCAGTGTGGGACTAATATTGTTACCAGATCTGTACATGCAGATCCTCTTGTGAGATTGGGGCCATAAACCAGAAACTCCCATAAATGAGATCCCACTTGTCAAAATGAAGCTAATGCAGCTCTCAAGAGACTGGAGAGGAGGGGGGGGACCTGGATACAGCGGAGTGGAATGAAGAGTGACACTGAACAGGCATCTAAACACCAACACTGTGTCATAAGGACTAGCCAGTCACTGCAATTTTCAGGGTGTAAACACAGGACCAAGGGATAGCAGCCCCATCCATTAGAACAACGATATGTTGGGACAAGGTATCACACAAGCAAGGTGCAATGGTTGAGGAGGAAGAGGGACCACTTGCCATAGGAAAGGGTCAAGGGAGGAGTCACCAAAGGAAATGAAGAAAGGGAAAAGTTGGATTGGACATAAGGGGCTGTCCCAAAAGTAAATGCCACGCAGGTGGGCAAGGGAAGGGGGTGGATACTCCATTGCTTGGGATGCTTCAAGTGAGCCTGGGTGAAGCATCTGTGATTCTGTGGCAAGGAAGGATCCTGCACTGGCAGGAGTGGCGATGACCTAATAGGGCTTTTCCATTTCTAGACTCCATGATGAATTCAGCAAAGCAAGTCTCCACAAGACTCAGGGTCCTGGCATGGACCCAGGGTCCATCTATCCCCAGCCTGTCTCCAATACTCAGAGGAAGACATTAAACACTCAGAGTGCACCTACATGTGCAATGCTTTGCCCCCAGGGCACAATTTCTTCTGACCTCATATGGGAATTGGCTTCTACCCTAGAGCATGCAGCCTGGCCTGCATTCTAACTAAGCTGTGCACAGATACAGTCCTTTGTGACTAGATTTCCACTTGCCATTCACTTCCATTATAAACCAGATTTTGTCTTCCCGACCTTTCTGACAGTACATCAGGTTCCAAAGAATTTCTTCATCAGGGAAGACTAGAAAGAATCAGGCAAGGAACTTTAACATCACGATGTTCCAATAATGTATCAATTTGCCTTACAGCGTGTCCAAGACAGCTTGGCTCCATATGTATATTTTTTCATTGGCTTTGCTGAGGAGAAATAACATTTCAGTATTATCTTTTCAGAGGTGAGGGGACATT